AACCCCAAACTATGATTTGGACTGGACTTGAAAGTAGTGGTTTGGGTTTGGAATTTTGACCATCCTAGAAATACAAATTAATGACTTTCCTAAAGGACCGATGCCTTTGCATTGTGGTGCTGGAAAAGAATGTTGTACATACTGTGGACTGCCAGGAGCATAAACAGGTCTGTCCTAGAGAGGGTGAAACCAAGCTGCTCCCTGGAGGCAAGGCTTTTTTTTTTTAAATCTTTTTCTTGTTGTATACCGGCGAATCAGATCTGACTGGCACAGGAGATGGCTTCTCCTTCTCCAGCAAAGCTTCTGGTGGATTTGAACCTTGAGCCTTTGGGATTGCAGCACAGCTTCTTGTCACTAGGACAGCTTCGTTGCACATATTTTGGGCATGTGGCCAGGAGGGATCAGTCCTTGGAGAAGGACATCATGGTTGGAAAGGTAGAGGGACAGCACAAAAGAGGAAGAACCTGGATGAGATGGATTGATTCAGTGACTGGGGTATTGGGGTAGGTATGTCAGAGACGATGAGATTGACTCAATACAGAACAGAGTTCAGAGCTGTTGTCTGTAGGTTCACTATGAGTTGCTCAACAGCACATCACAACAACAACTCACAGTTTAAGAGTCTAAATTCAGGGCTTTGGCTCTAGGTAAAGGGTTTCTCTTTCTGGTGCTTTTGGCAGAAGTCCTTGTTTCTAGGAGCTTCTCCACACAGGGATCAGGCCCACAAGACATGGACCCAACACTCCTTTCTTGTTGGTATGAGGTCTACACGTCTGCTTGCTTTTCTTTTCTTTTATGCTGCCACAAACCAATGGCTTATTACCTGACATTACCAGAACTAGAAAAGGCAAGAAAGGATCTTCTCTGTGAGCCACTGGGGAAGGCACAACCCTGGCAAGAACTAACTTTACTCAGGTACCTCCTATAACAGAGAGAATACATTTTAGTCGTTTAAGCTATCACTTTGTGATAATTTTTCATGGGAACCCTAAGAAATGATACTTCAGGTATTCAGTAAATATTTATGGAATGAATAACTACAAATACTAGGAAAGTGATAGCTCTTCTGAAAAATAAGTCCATTTGCAGGCAGGTCTACAGTGATACAGTTTTGTCTTCTTAACAGCATTAACTCGACCACAGCTCCATTGTGTTTTTATTATTTTCACACAACTTGATGAAAGTGACTTCATTTCATACAAGTATTTTATACTGTGTATATTCATTTATACTGTGTATATTTGTTTGAAACAAACTTTTGTGTTTATTGTTTATAAAAAGAAAAGAAAAACATATGTTGCTGGACACATCCTGGGGAAAGTCCTTTTATAGAGGCTTGGGGGCTGTGACAACATTAAGAGTATTGGTTCCACCTTTAGTCGTTTTACAACTGATCGGCATGGAGGATCATTTCATGACTATAATGTTAGACTATTTCCGCATATATCACAACTCATTGGCCAGCCAAGTAAGAGCATATTGAGGGGTGGAGTTACAATTCAGCCCATGACACCAGGCCACGGTCAAATCTGCCCAGTTTGGAAAGGTGGTAGGTAGGATTTGGGTATTTTCAAAGAGGCCACCCACCTGACTCTCAGCCTGTTGAGGGTGCGTCTTCATAGGAAATTGAGTTCTAGGTGAGTTGCTGTACACTGGGCCAGCAGTGTTAATAGATCTCTATCACTAGTGCTAATAATCTCTATTAATAGTGCTAATAGATCTCTCTTGGGCTCTCAAAGAGTCCGTGGGGTGGCACAAAAAAATTCAGAGATCACCTGCAAACTGTAAGGTTGGTGGTTCACATCTACCCATAGGCACCTTAGAAGAAATGCCTGGTGATCTCCTGAAAACTGTCACTGACAGCCTTAGAGCACAGTCCTGGTACTCACGGGTGGCTACTCATTTTGACTCTTAGAAGAGTGCTCAGGTGTGAATGGTCGCCCTGATTAGTGATCTTGCCGGGCGGAGGACTCCAACTTGGTGAATGGAAACGTGCACGATTCCAGTAAGAAGAGCACTGAAGGGGGAATTATCCTACGAATGTGGCGTCTGTTCAGGCTTTTCCTTAAAAGGCTTTTCTCTCCGTGCTATCTGGGATGCCTTGCAGACTTCGTCTGACACACTTCTTGTCATCGGTTTATTTTTCTTTAATGCAGCTTTTGGGAGCGGTGTGTCTTGGGCGCCTGGATTGTGTTTAGCCTCATGGGCAGTAGTTTGCATGTGTGTGTGATTCAAGCCTGGGCAGATTGGCTGTGAAATGGGGTGATAAGAATAGGGGGAAACGCATACCAGCAGACCCAACTTCCTGTGCACAAGCCTTTGGATACTGCGTTTCACTGTCTGAAATAGCATTCAGTTTAGGGCTGGGATCGTTTTATTCCCTCTGGAATTAAGCAATAGCACTGGCAGCCACCAAAACTATTTTGGGAAGGAGACGTGGGAGGAATTTTGCTATGTGTTCAGAGTCCCGCAGAAATACCTCTCATGAATTTGATGACTGCACTCAGTGTAGTCCATATAAATGGTAAACTTGCGGATAATCTCATATGTAATCAATGTCAAGTTCAATACATTTGCCTTCTAAACAATGAAATGCCAATAAAGACTGAATTTAGATGCTTCAAATTAACTTACATTGCAAAAAAAGGAACTTGACTTTGGACAGCATCCTGCAACACTACTAGATGCTACCGAGAAGGGATGAAATACAATATCTTATTCCTGTTTCCTTTTAACATAAGCCCTTGCAGATTGTCTGTTGTATGCATATTCTCATGTAGACTTTTCTAGATGGTTGCACGAGTTTTAAAAGCAGGCAGTAAATGGCATGCCTTCTCCGTTGCCATAAAGCTGAGGTTGGTAGGGCTTGGCAGCAGGTGACAGCTGCAGAGATACATAAGCCCTGGGGGCTCCTGGATGACTAGATGTAGAGGATGCGAGTTTGCAGGTATGAGTGCCGGCTGTGGGGAGAGGCCTCAAGGACAGAGCCGCAGCTGGAACCCAGAAGACCTGCAGAAGATGAAAGGGAGGTAGGGATTCTAGGAGCCTGTTTCTGATCAAACTTCCATCCTAGAGGCAGGGGAGTGGGGAATTACTTTAAAATGCAGCTGTAAGTCATACGCACATTTAATAACCTATGTCTTATTTAATTAATATATTTAAGGGAAATCAGAACTAGGTTGGTATGTTGTTTAGTTTTTCTGCCTGAGCCTGATTTAGCTAATTAATGTGATAGAACTGTCTTTAGGTCTTTACCATTTAGTTCCAATCAGGAATTGAAGACAGTAGCCGAGTGCTGCTTAATTTATTTTTTAAGTGTGTGTGTGTGTGTGTGTGTGTGTGTGTGTGTGTGTGACTGATAAGCAATTTGGAAGGTGCTGTTTGTGCTGTCAAGCCAAAAGCACGTAGTTCGAATCCACCCTGCTCTGAGGAAGGTGGACAGCCACCTCTCATGCAATTTAGAGCCTCTGAAAATCTGCTGGAGGGTCTGCTGTGAGTTGACTTCAACTCAATGGCAGTGAGTTGAGTTCTGAAGAAGGCTTTTGAGTTCTGTTCTCGTGTGGTGGATGTAATCACAGCAGACATTGTCATGTTGGAATAGGAAATCAGGTGAAGAGTAAAGCTATTGAGGCACCTTGTCTCAAGACAGGACTGTCTAGGCCTATGGCAAGCACTTTATAGGTCTAATTCTCTGTTGTTGGCAAATACACATTTGCCTAAAGTTGATATATTGTAAAACTCTGCTTGTTTAAAATGGAAAACCTACTGAAATATATATTTGTTAACCCCTCCAAGCTCACAGCTAGCAAATTGATGCCAGCTCCTGGTTACCCTTTGTTGGGTTTCTGAGGTTTTAAACCTTCCCTGGATGAGACTGCTATCATTCTTCCATGGAGCAGCACAAGGATTCAACCACTGACCCTTCATGTAACAACCCAGTGGGTTACACACTACACCACAAAATTTCCTTGAAGTATGGTTAATGGTGCCATCGTTGAAATCAATGCACTCTGTATATTGAGGGCTTGTGGGGGGCGGGAATAGAAATGAACTATTATTTTGTTTTCCAGCTAGTAGAATTAAAGGTCTAGCAATCTCAGAATTAAAATACATTGCTGGCTTTCCACCTGTATATTATGTAAAATTTTCTTTATTTCAGAGCGTCACTCTGACTTTTCTTTTATTCTTTTTTTTTTTTTTTTATTTTACTCACCCCTGGGAGAAATTAGTAGAAAAGACCTTCCTATGTTGACGAGGAATAAATGTCTTTGAAGACTTTTCAAGGAAAAAAAAATGAAGATGTAGATAGGCCTCTTAAATCAAAAGACTCCGTCCATAGATTGTTGTGGTACAGTTGTAACATTTATGTGAGATGAGAACTGTAAACAGAAATGTTTCTTCTACAGTAAGAGAACTACATGTTGAAGGCAAATAGGAAAGGATAGGAAGGAGATGGTGAGGAAATGGAAATGAGAAAAATCAGAATAAATGTTAAGTGCCTGGAGAATTGATAAATTTAAAAAAAATGTGAGGGTTTACTGAGTTCTGAAAAGGGAGCTCAGGTGGCCTACTGGGTAAGGTGTTGTGCTGTCAACACAAGGGCAGGTAATTTGAATCCACCAGCTGCTCCATGGGAGAAAGATGGGCAGTCTTCTTTGTGATTTACAGCCCCAGAAAATTTACAGAAGAGTCAGCTATGGATTTGATTGTGACTCAGTGGCAATGAGTTTGAGAATTTTGAATTCTGATGCATGTTAGGACCACAGTGGGGTCCACAGGGGAAGAGAGCAGCTGTAACTAAAATCTGGCATGGAATCGGGCATTGGTAAATTGAGTTTAATCTGAATCCTTCCACACATCCATTAAAGGTGATGGAAAGTCACCAAGGACAAAGAGGCTCTGGAATGAAGTTGCCATTGACCCCAGCTTCCTGGGTTTTGTAGGATGAGGTGATCTCCATCTCTACGAGTCCTCTGATCCCTCTGTGTTCTCTGTTCCAGGAGCGGCAGCGCCTGGAGACCATCCTCAGTCTTTGTGCTGAATATACCAAACCTGACAGCCGCTTGTCCACTGGTACCACCGTGGCAGATGTGCAGAAAATCAACAAGGAGCTTGAGAAACTGCAGATCTCTGATGAGGAGTCTGTGTTTGAGGAAGCCCTGATGCCCCCTGATATGCGATATAGATGCCACCAGAAAGGCTCTCTCCTTGATGCGGACTTGACCGGCTTCGGGAGCCTCAGCCAGAGCTCAGCCAACTTCCTCACCCCACGGAACATCAGAAACGATGAACTGTTCTCTGACCTCGCCAAGACTCCCCCTCTGCCTTCTTCTGCCTTTCTGAAAGCATCCGGAGAGTCTGCTTATTTAAGTATCGTACCAAAGGTAATGCTGTCGGAGTAAAGAGATTGGGGTTAAAGACCTAAGTCTGTGAATATATGTTGGTCTAGAAATTACAAGTTTTATTATGTTAGTTTCCCAGGGTGTTTTTGAGTGAAGCACAATTTAACAAGCTCAGTAAATATGTGTTTACCATAAATAACAAATTGCTCCTCAAAAAAATAAAGATAACGGTATAAAAAGTGTCTTAGTTTTTTAGTGCTGCTATAACAGAAGTACTCTACCTAGGTGGATGGTTCTTAAAAGCAGAAATTTATTCTTTCACAGATTAGGAGAGACTAGACGTCTAAATTCAGAATGCTGTTTCTAGGGGAATTTTTCCCCCCCTGTTAGCCCTAGGTAGTAATGGTCCTTAACATCCTTTTAACAGCTTGTGAACCCAGCATGTGTTGCAGATCTCTGAGAGATCTGGGAGTCTTCCCTGGACCTAGGAGGTTCTCAGTTCTTCCCAGGGGATCACCAAGTCCATCTGATCTTTGCATGCTTATTTAATCTTTCATATATCATATAACCCATATCAAAATGGGTTGATTCAAAATAAAGTCTAATCCTGTAGATTGTGGTTTGCCACAGTAAGGTAACTGACCCTTTAGAATCGTAGAGGTTAGGATTTACAATACACAGGACAATTATATCAGATCATAAAATGGAGAATAATTATGTGAAGTCTGGTGACCTAGGAAGTTGTAAACGTAACTCAAATTGCACACCTTTTTTGTGGTTTTGAATTCACCAGTGACTCTGAGAAAGAAAGATAGTCAGTCACTTCCTGTGCGATTTACAGCGTCAGAAACCCAGTAGAGGATCAGCTATGAATTGATTCTGACTCAGTGCAACAAGTGAAAGTAGAGACTGGGAAACAGGTTGACACATATTTGGGGGTACAAGCATTTGGAGGTTGATACATATTTGAGGGCACAATTGATTTGTATTTGTCAAGTTGATATCTATGTGGGGGTACAATTCAATCCATAACAGGAGGGTGATGGTTGTTTTTAGGGGCTGTCAAATTGACCACAATCCATAGTGACCCTCTGAACAACAGATCTGAACCTTGTTACTGTCACTGTGTCAATCTTATTTATGGCAAGTAAGCGTTTCTCTTTTGGTAAGCTTGAGAGATAAGCATGAGAGAGAAAGAAATAAATTTATCCGTGATATTTCCTATGACTCTATGGCCACATATTATAGGCACGTTAATTAAAAAAAAAACAGCAAAACCCAACTTTTATTATTGAATCAGTTCTAGTGAACTGGCATTTTCCAATGAACCCAAGCATGTCAAGATAGAACTGTGTTCCATAGAATTTTCAACTGCTGACATTTTGAAAGAAGATTGCCAGATCTTTTTTTTGTTTCCTCAAGGCCCCTCTAAGAGCATTAAAACATGCCAACTTTTGGCTAGCAGTGAGCATGTTAATTAACTGTTTGCCCTACCCAGAGACACACATACATAAACATAAAGTGTTCTGATCTTTGTATGAGTTCCCACCTCCTCAACATTTATTATTTGATTCCCTAATAAAATTTTCCTACTGCTACTGGGGGAAAAAAAGTGTTCTGATCTTTTATCTTCACTAAATGTCTTGGTAATCTTTTAATATTAATTAACATAGCAGTACCTCTTTTTTAAAGGCTAGCTAAACTTTCTGTTATTTCGGGATATCATTTGTTTACAGGGTTTTTTTGCTAAAGCTTTATGTAGCAAATATTATAGGACCTAGGAAGAAATATATATGAATAACTGGGCAAATACATCTATGGGTCAGTTACTATGAGTGAAATTACTGGGCCAAAGGGTTTATACATTTTTATTTTCACTCAAGATTTTCAAATTGCACTGTAATACCTGGTGACTCATTCACTAGCAATTCATTAACAGACCTTGTTCTTTTTATACTTACCGACACTGAATATTGTAAATGTTTAATGTGTCAAATTGATAAGTGTTTTAATTTGCTTTTTTTGGTATACAGTTAGGAATTTATAAATATTTTATTAGTATTTTTGACCCACTTATTCATGTTCTTTACTAATTTTTTAAAATCACTGTATATGCATTGTTTTTACTTTGTGTGAAGGGCTATTTAAGGAACTATGGTGGTGAGACCTGAAATTGCATCAGAGGTGATTGCCCATCTTGGTTCCATGGAGCAGCTGAAGAACTCGAACCTGCTGCCTTTGGGTTGGCAGTTCACCTCTTTCCTGCTAACCCACCAGAGCTCCATAGTAGTTTGTTGGGCTTTCTTTTGACTTTTTATTTTTTTTAAGAAAGGGTATGGTGGTTATAAGCATTCGACTGCTAGTAGAAAGGTAAGTAGTTCAGACTCACCAGCAGCTTCGCGGGAGACTGATGTGGCGGTCTGCTTCCACAAAGATTACACCTTTGGAAACTTTCTAGGACAGTCCCATTCTGTCCAGTAGGGCCACTGTGAATCGGAATTGACAGTGATGGGATGAAAAGAAATGTTGATGTCTTTTAGCACAAGCGGCCTTCCATTAACTTTATTTGTAGTGTTTTTTTTTTATTTCAAGAAGATTTAAATTTATAAAAAAAAAACAACAAACCAGCTAACAGAAAGCTGGACAATGACTAGGGATGAGAGAAGGAAAATTGATGCCTTTAAGCTGTCATCTTGGAGAAGAGTATTGAATATACCATGGACTGCCAGGAGAATAAACAAGTTTGTCCTGGAGAAGGTGAAGCCAGGCTGCTCCTTGGAGGCAAGAATTCTGAAGCTTTGTCTGACATACTTTGGGCATGTTGCAAAGAGGGACTGGTCCTTGGAGAGGGACGTCATGTTTGGGTGGGTGGAGGGGACAGTGCAGGAGAGGAAGACTCTCGATGAGATGGATTGATTCAGTGACTGGGGTGATAGGGGTAGGTGTATCAGAGGCAGTAAGATTGGCACAGGCTATAGCAGGGTTTAGGGCTGTTGTATATAAGGTCGCTATGAGTCTCAGGCGACTTGACAGCACATAACAACAACAAGAGTCAAGTCAATCACTATTCCTCGTGATCCCAGTTGTGTTAGAGTAGAGGTATTCTCCATATAGGATTTTGCTGGCTGATTTTGATAAAGATTTCCAGGACCTTCTTGTGAGGAATTTTTGGGTGGAATCAACTTCCAAACATTCATTTTCATCCCATCATGTTACTACCCACGATCTCCTTAAGATTTACATGTTGTTATATGCCATCACATCAGAACTAACTCAAAGCTAACACAGTGGGTTTCAGAAGCTATAAATCACACTAGAAGAGACTGACTGGCCATCTTTCTCCCACAGAGAAGCTGGTGGATTTGAACCTCTTATCTTTGGATTGGCAGCGCAACTCCTTACCCAACAGGCTACCAGAGCTTTGGAACTCAGAGATAAGTGGTTCAAGTCAACTGGTGGCTCCTCAAGAAGAAGATGGGCAGTCTCTTCCCATGTGATTTACAACCTCTGAAACGCCATTGAAGGATCAGCTATGTGGCAGTTTCCACTTGATGGAAATAAGTAGTTATTTGTTAGTTGCTATATACCTTCCACTCAGAGCTCACACATAGCTGACCCTCTAGCACGTTTTCAGAAGTAGTAAATCGCACAGGAGATTTCTCATCCTCTCTTGCATAGCAGCTAGTTTCAGACTTTTATGCTTTTGAGTCAGCAGCGCAACCCCTTTCCATTAAGCCACCAGACCTCCCCCATGAGTTGTATTGTTGTTGTTGTTGTGTACCATTGAGTAGGAATCAACTCGTTCATAGCTGACCCTCCAGTGTGTTTTCAGAGACAGTAAATCACGTAGGAATAGATTGCCCATCTTGCTCCCACAGAACCATGGGTGAAGTTGAAACACGTGCTTTTGGGTTGACAACGCAGCTCCTTACCACTAGTCCACCAGAGCTCCCTTCAAAGAGTAGTCATAATTTCTATTTGTTGAGTTCTCTCATTATATCCCCTAAGAACTCCAGGCTGTTAATCCATATTTAAATATCTAAACCTTTCCTTCTCCTAATGACCATATTTACCTAGAAATACCCCCAGTGTTTGCCTGTTTTATTTATAGCGATCCCATGTTTCTTGGATGCAAACTGTGTTGATGGCGTTTTCATTGACTGTTTTTCTAAACTTGCCCACCAGAACTTTCTTTTGCGGCACCTCTGAGTAAATTGAAACCTTCCACCTTTCATTTAGCAGCCATGCACCTTAACCATTTGTACCACCTAGAGACTGTGGGCAGTAATTTCAAACAAGATGTCTCTTTTTATTGCCAGAAAATCGTGATTGTTAGAAACGGAAATCTGGGTAGAAAAAAATTAAAAGCTTGCTGGTGTTCAGGCAGAATAAATGAAGCATCATTTGAAATTTTGAGCTGTTGTCATCAGCAACAAGACTACCTCAAAATTCCCTCCCTTCCTTTTCAGCTGAAATATTTTCACCTTTCTTTGAATTTTACTTTTTGTTGTTGAGAATTCACATAGCAAAACAAGCAGCCATTGAATAGTTTCACCACAGATCATTCGATAACATTGATTACATTCTCCGACTTGTGCAACCATTCTCAACCTCCTTTTCTGCTCCTTAAGATTCCTTAGTCTAAACTTTCAAGTTGCTGACATCAATGTGATCCCTGCAGATAGCTCTTGGAAGAACGCAGCAGTACGCAGGGTCTCATATCTTCCTTCCTGGGGGTCTGTCAGACTTTTGTGAGCTGTGAGTTCTCTCTGAGGACTGTCTTTTGAGAACTAGGCTTCCTCAGGAGAAGGCTGTAACAAGAAAGCTGTTGGGGTGTAAATGAGCAGATCCCAGCAGATGGTTTTAATTGCTCAGATAGGCTGCAGTGGGTTAGGAGGCCTCTGATGTTGAGAGTAGAGGCTGTTGTCACAGAGATGTAAGGCTGTGTGTGCTTTAAAGACAGCAAACATCAAAGGCTCCTCTGGTTACCACAGAGCAGCCTCCACAGAACACTGCTGAGAGCTGAAGGGTCCCAGGGAGTG